CCAGTTACTCACTAGAATTTTTGCCTGTTACCTTAATAGGAGAACGGGTTGTAGCCTTTGCTGCAGTGGAAGGCATCTTCTTTTCTGGTTCTTTTGCATCAATATTCTGGCTCAAGAAACGAGGACTGATGCCCGGCTCCACATTTCAATGAACTTATTAGCAGAGATGAGGTGAGTCTAAATGAATAACAGTCTAGCTTGTTCCCAACACATGTACAACTCCTAGGCATGCTCTTCTTGTTCACTGAAGGGACCCAAGATACCAGATGGCATCATATCAATTTATATGTGAGTTCAACCATGTGCATCTTTTCATCAGTTGTAGGGAGGAGACTTTCCTCGTGCCTATTCTGGCACAAGGTATATAGGAAACAGGTACACCTGAAAGGTGATGTTACATTGCACGTGTGAAGCCAGGATCGAGTTGAACTTCCCGGCCATGGGCAAGCCACCTCTGGGCCTGTCTTCCCGTCTGCAAAACAGATGGGGTCACAGGCCTTCCCTGGTGGAGTTTGCTTTGTGCTCCCTCAGCCCACTGACCTGTGTGAACTTCTGCCTGGGTTTGAATCGGTCCCTCTGTCTATAAATGCCCTTTTCAGATCCAAATCCCACCCACCTGCACAAGGCCCGTTAGAGGTCATGACACCTTTCCATGCCCAGAACAGCCATTTATCCCTGTGTGTCTGCACATGTCACTGCCATTCAGTTCCTCGGTCATCTGTCACACAGCTCATCAGGTGCTGTTCTCGGCATGGAGATGAGTAGTGAGCCCGAGGAGCAGTCCCACCCCCGTGGAGCTTAGGTTTAGTCCTAGAGAGGAAAACTTAGGTTTAGTCCTAGAGGGGAGTAGATCTGAAGTGTCCCGTGGTGATGGAGTCAGAATTGTGAGATGGGTGGGCGCAATTAGGAGAGGTCTCATGGAGGAGGTGACAGTTTGTCTGTGGTGGGTGTATTGGGGCTAGCGTGACTCCTGTGGTTCTTATGAAGATTCCTTTCATGTCAGAATGTCTTTGTGGGCACAGGTTTTTATCTATTGCTGTATGTCTTAGCACAGGCCTTCAAGGATCAGGCACTCAAGGAATGAGGTGAATGAGGAAATACACCAGTCTGAGCTGAAGTATTCTGGGGTGGATGATGTCATTGGCAAAGGCCTGTGCTGTGTCCCAGAGGAACCCTGTAGAGGGCTTTGCCTTTGCACTCCAAAGGTGCTCAGTGAATTTCGGCTTGACGGCAGGTGTGCTGGGGAGTCCAGGCTGCTGTGCTTCAGGAGGATCACCAGCTATTAGAACAGCCTCCCTGTGGGCAGCTGCAGTCCTGTTCTCTCCACCTGTACCAGCTGCCCAAGTTTTGATCTTCCACGTTGCATGAGGGGGACTGCAGCAGGGTTGGTGTGGTCAGACTACTGGGTCAGTTAGATATAGATATAATACTGCTCAATACTCATTAGATACAGACTCATAGGCCTCAGCCCAGACCTACCAACCAGAAAGCCTGCAGTTTTAACAAGATTATCCTGGGAGATTCTGGGTGTGATAGACTTGTGATGTAACCAGTGGTTTTTAGTCCTGAGTGCATTATAATCACTTGGGGGCTTTTAAAATGCTGCCGGTGCCTGGATACTACTGGAAAAGGCAGTCCAGCTTGTTTTTAGCTAGATGTGTTTTCTTAATTTGTGTGAGCTCTAGACATGCTTGTGTAAGGGTTATATCTCATCACGTGTGCAGTCGGGGCCCTGCTCAGGTGCAGTGGCCAGGCCTGGCAGCCAAGAGCAGATTATGAAATCCTTTTCCCTCTGCCTGCCAGGCACTGCCGTGGTCTCAGACCCAAGCTAAGGACGGGCTCCTTGTGGAGCAGGGGCCAAATGGGAGTGTGAATACCCTTGGGCCGGGAGCTGATACACTGTTTGTATGTTTTTTGAGCATCAGTGGCCCTGCCAGTGTTGGTCTGGAGGGCATATTATCAGGGTCATAGCACTATGTTAAGGTATGTATATTGCCCTCCCCCCTCAAGGTTCAAGAGCTTCAAAGCGGTGACCATCCCCAAACGTGCACATATTCACTCCATTATTGTTTGTATATACAATCACCTCCCCTCCCATCTGCCACACCATGATTAGAATGTTATATTCCTATATGTCCACTTAGGGGTTTGATACGGTTAATACAATTTGCTGGTGACTAATATGTGGCTGGTTTTTCCATTCTTGAGATACTTCATTTAGTAGAATGATTCCTTTTAAGTTTTTGTTTTTCTTGTTTGTGAATGTTTATAGCAGCCAACAGTTCAACAATCGCAAAGGTTGTGGAAACAATCCAGGTGCCCATCAATACATGAGTGGATTAATAAAATGTGGTATATGTATCACCATGGGAGGTACTAATTTCCAGCTTTAAGAAGACAATGGTGATATAAAGCACC